TAGTCCTGCTTTAGTCCTGCTTTAGTCCTGCTTTAGTCCTGTTTTAGACCGGATTTAGTCCTCCTTTAGTCCTATCCTGTTTAGTCCTAGTTCTGTCCCGGTTCAGATCTGGTTCAAAGTCCTGGTACATATCTCTTTCTTCAGGCCAACATGTGTTTTTAACCACTTTGTCTTCATGAGAACATATTGAGACTGTAGTGATGTTTGAGCAGACTGAGCCGGGCGATAAATCAAAAGTATTCAATAAATACACTTTTTTTTTAAATCGAAGATGTGAAAATGATTTAAATAGTAAAATAAAGGCCCTGGACATTTCTTCTGAGAGAGACATAAGAAGGACCTGGTACTGGTTACACAGGACCGGTGGAAACACTCCCATCAGGGGAGAGTAGAGAGGAGTAGAAGAGAGTAGAGGATAGTAGAGTAGAGTAGAGAAGAGGAGAGTAGAGACGAGTAGAGGAGAGGAAGAAGAGAGTACAGTTGAGTAGAGTAGAGTAGAGTAGAGTGGAGGAGAGTAGAGTAGTGTAGAGTAGAGTAGAGAGGAGTAGAGGAGAGTAGAGGAGAGTAGAGTAGAGTAGAGTAGATGAGAGTAGAGTAGAGTAGAGTAGAGTAGAGCAGAGAAGAGGAAAGTACAGACGAGTAGAGGAGAGGAAGAAGAGAGAAGAGGATAGTAGAATAGAGTAGAGTAGAGTACAGTAGAGTAGAGAAGAGGAGAGTAGAGTAGAGTAGATGAGAGGAAGAAGAGAGTAGAGTAGAGTAGAGTAGAGGAGAGGAAGAAGAGAGTAAAGTAGATGAGAGGAATAAGAGAGTAGAGTAGAGTAGAAGAGAGGAAGAAGAGAGTAGAGTAGAGGAGAGTAGAGGAGAGGACGAGTAGAGTAGAGTAGATTAGAGTAGAGTAGATAAGAGTAGAGTAGAGTAGAGTAGAGTAGAGAAGAGTAGATGAGAGTAGAGTAGAGTAGAGTAGAGTAGAGTAGATAAGAGTAGAGTAGATTAGATGAGAGTAGAGTAGATTAGATGAGAGTAGAGTAGAGTAGATGAGAGTAGAGTAGAGTAGAGTAGATGAGAGTAGAGTAGATGAGAGTAGAGTAGAGTAGATAAGAGTAGAGTAGAGTTGAGTAGAGTAGTTGAGAGTAGAGTAGAGTAGATGAGAGTAGAGTAGAGTAGATGAGAGTAGAGTAGAGTAGAGTAGAGTAGATGAGAGTGAGAGTGGAGTAGAGTAGAGTAGAGTAGAGTAGAGTAGAGCCATGTAGGGCTGGTGGAAATGTTGCTATTATCACCAGGACAGTCACCACAATTCACAAAAACCGTTGTCTCTTTTGAATGTTGTGATGTCACACGACGACACCGTTTAAAAACATGTTTTCATCGAAATGCTGGAAACTGGAAATCTGAAGTTTCCGTCAACTTTTTTTTTTTTTTTTTCAGGGACTATTTTGGGAACGGCATCTGAGGCTCTAAGGGGCCAACACAAACTTGGACTTTTCTCCCGGTCTCTTAATCTGCTGTGACTCGCATCAAACCCAATGGACCAGGACCAGGACCAGAACCTGGACCCAGACCCAGTGTCCACAAATGTATAAGCGTCAGTTTTAGGCAAGAGTAGAGTAGTAAGTAAGCAAGTAAGTAAGCTTTATTTATATACCGCCTTTCACAGACCAGAGTCACAAAGCGGTTTACAATTGTTATTTTTTGGGCACTTGTCCTCTCTCTCCACACAGAGATGGGAGCCGAACAGGAGGCGCATGCCAGACCTATTGTACATATTTTTAGTGGTAGGGGAAACCGGAGTACCCGGAGGAAACCTACGCAGGCACGGGGAGAACATGCAAACTCCACTCAGAAAGGCCCTGGTCCGGCCGGGATTCGAACCCAGGACCTTCTTGCTGAGAGGCGAGAGTGCTATCCACTCAGCCACCGTGCCGTGGCTGAGTAGAGCATATCATGTAGCATATCATGTAGAGCAGAGTAGAGCATATCATGTACGTAGATGTCAGTAGAGTGGGGTAGAGTAGATAACAGTAGAGTAGAGTAGAGTAGAGTAGAGTAGTGTAGAGTAGAGTAGAGTAGAGTAGTGTAGAGTAGAGTAGAGTAGAGTAGTGTAGAGTAGAGTAGAGTAGAGTAGTGTAGTGTAGTGTAGAGTAGAGTAGAGTAGAGTAGAGTAGAGTAGTGTAGAGTAGAGTAGTGTAGTGTAGTGCAGAGTAGAGTAGTGTAGAGTAGAGTAGAGTAGTGTAGAGTAGAGCAGTGTAGTGTAGAGCAGAGTAGAGTAGAGTAGTGTAGAGTAGAGTAAAGTAGTGTAGTGTAGTGTAGAGTAGAGTAGAGTAGAGTAGAGAAGAGTAGAGTAGGGTAGAGTAGAATAGAGTAGAGTAGAGTAGAGTAGAGTAGTGTAGTGTAGTGTAGTGTAGAGTAGAGTAGTGTAGAGTAGAATAGAGTAGAGTAGAGTAGTGTAGAGTAGAGTAGAGTAGTGTAGAGTAGAGTAGAGTAGTGTAGTGTAGTGTAGTGTAGTGTAGTGTAGAGTAGAGTAGAGTAGTGTAGAGTAGAATAGAGTAGAGTAGAGTAGTGTAGAGTAGAGTAGAGTAGTGTAGAGTAGAGTAGAGTAGTGTAGAGTAGAGTAGAGTAGAGTAGAGTAGTGTAGTGTAGTGTAGTGTAGAGTAGAGTAGAGTAGAGTAGAGTAGTGTAGAGTAGAGCAGTGTAGAGTAGAGTAGAGTAGTGTAGAGTAGAGTAGAGTCGAGTAGTGTAGAGTAGAGTAGAGTAGTGTAGTGTAGTCTAGAGTAGAGTAGAGTAGAGTAGAGTAGAGTAGAGTAGATTAGTGTAGTGTAGTGTAGAGTAGAGTAGAGTAGAGTAGAGTGGAGTAGAGTAGTGTAGAGTAGAGGAGAGTAGTGTAGTGTAGTGTAGAGTAGAGTAGAGTAGAGTAGAGTAGAGTAGAGTAGAGTAGTGTAGTGTAGTGGAGTGTAGTGTAGAGTAGAGTAGAGTAGAGTAGAGTAGAGTAGAGTAGAGTAGTGTAGTGTAGAGTAGAGTAGAGTAGAGTAGAGTAGAGTAGAGTAGAGTAGTGTAGAGTAGTGTTGTGTAGAGTAGAGTAGAGTAGTGTAGAGTAGTGTAGAGTAGAGTAGTGTAGAGTAGAGTAGAGTAGAGTAGTGTAGTGTAGAGTAGAGTAGAGTAGTGTAGAGTAGAGTAGATTAGAGTAGTGTAGAGTAGTGTAGAGTAGAGCAGTGTAGAGTAGAGTAGAGTAGAGTAGAGTAGTGTAGAGTAGAGTAGAGTAGAGTAGAGTAGTGTAGAGAAGAGTAGAGTAGAGTAGAGTAGAGCAGTGTAGAGTAGAGTAGAGTAGAGTAGAGTAGAGTAGAGTAGAGTAGAGTAGAGTAGAGTAGTGTAGTGTAGAGTAGAGTAGAGTAGAGTAGTGTAGAGTAGTGTAGAGTAGAGTAGAGTAGAGTAGTGTAGAGTAGAGTAGAGTAGAGTAGAGTAGAGCAGAGTAGAGTAGTGTAGTGTAGTGTAGTGTAGAGTACAGGGTTCGAAATTAACACCCGCCAACCCGCCAAATGCGGGTTAAAAATCATTTTGGCGGGTACTAAAAAAAACCTACCCGCCAGTTTGGCCGGTGATGCATGAGCCAATCATGCAAATCATGTCAGAGACGCTCTGGGTGGTTTGTCCCCTCCGTCCTACATTTCCCATGAACACTACACTACTGGTGACGTTTCAGATACCTATTGGCAGATTGGCTGCAGCGCAGATACGCGAAAATATCGGATGAGAGGACTGAGCTGGACAGCGAAATAAACTAAAATGTTGCGGTGGTTAGAACAAACGTCAGGATCAGGAAGAAGTGAGAAGAGGAAGGAGCCAGAAGATGAAAATGTTGACAGAATATGCGAAACAAAGAGAAGGAAGTTCAGTTGTAAATGGCAGACAGGTCGTAACTGGTTAGTGTTTGATAGTAACAATTCGGTCATGTTTTGTCAGATTTGCCGTGAGTACACGAAAGACAAAAATAAAACCAACAGTTTCGTTGTTGGTACCAGTAATTTTAAAATCGAGGCAGTGAAGGACCACGAGAAAGCTAGGAGTCACGGGAAAGCCTTCAAATAAAAACTGCGAAGACGGTTCCCGTTGAAGACAGTGTTGCGGGGAGAAGCCTCACTTCACTGAAGACTTCGGAGTTGGAGAAGATGCAACTTCTTTTTAGAAATGCCCATGCCATCGCAAAAAAGGGCAGACCTTTCACCGACTTCGCATGGATGTGTGAGTAAGTGAATCGACCATTTTATTTACATGTTCAAAATCAGTGCATTTAAAATGATACAGTGACGTGCATGCTATGAGACAGAGGAAATGTTAGGTTTGATTTTTAATAACCCCACTGAAAAGTAAATATACTCTGTAGGCACTAACTTTGGCTTTATTCACATGATAATGAATTTAGAGTGGACAGGAAGAAAGGCTTGAAGATAGGAGAGACATATACAAATGACCACCAAGCAAAAGAGTTCATACACTACATAGCAGAGGATGAGAGGAGAAAGATGAAAGCAAGATTATCAGACGGCAAGTTCATCTCAGTCATGTCAGATGGATCCCTGGACAGTGCAGTGATGGAAGAAGAAATGGTTTATGTCAGGAGTGCTAGTGAGGGAAAAGTCAAAGTTGATTTTGTTGGGGTTAAAGCTGTCTCAAAGCCAGATGCTGCACATATAGCTGAAGCTGTGTGCAGTATAATGGACAGTGATGTCAGCACTGATTGGAAGAACAAGCTGGTTGCCATCACCACAGATGGAGCATCTGTAATGACAGGAGTAAACAATGGTGTAGTTACAAAACTGCGTGGAGACAGATCAAGTGTGCTTGGGATCCACTGCATGGCCCATAAGCTTGAACTCTCCTTTTCGGACGGAATAAGGAAGAATGTGATGGTCAGGAAAGTTGAGGACCTGTTGAGTGGACTCTACACCTTATATCATAAGAGTGGTGTAAACAGGGCCAGCCTAAAGGAACACTTCAGGGAGCTCCACATGAAAGCTTTGATGCCAACCAGAATAGGTGGAACCCGGTGGCTACCACATCTCTTCAATGCACTTGACCATTTTCTCAGGGGATATGCTGGCATTGTCCACCACTTAGAGGAGAAGGTATGCTAATTTATAGCCTAATAAAATTAGTAGGGTTTCAATTTTAAATGTTGTATATGATATAATTATAGTTGTTTTGTTTGTAGTCCCAGGATACCACACACACCAATGCTGTTCTGAGGGCAAAGTTCAAGGGGTTCCTCAACATAGCCAAGAATGGTGTAGTGCTCAGGTTTTGCTGCCTTCTCCATGACACCATCTATCAACTGAAAAACCTCTCCAAGTCACTGCAGCGGTCCGTGTCAACCCTGGCTGAAGCTCAGAGATGCCTGTCTTCCACTCAGGCTGTTATAGAAAAGTACAAGTCAAGGTATGAATCCTACCATGTATGCTTTGATTTTAGGTTGTGTTGGTGTGTTTTCAAATCGATGCATGGATGAAAATACACTCATCCATTTATCTGCACAACTTTAGACCTGGGCCAAAGCTGAGATCAGTGCTGGACACAGACACCTATGAGGGAGTCCTCCTGAAGCCTTCTGATGCCGGCCAGCATGACAAGGCAAAGAATGAGCTGATCGATTCTCTGTGCCAATGCATCACTGCAAGATTTAGTGATGTGAACAGTGGTGTCCTGCATGCTATGCGACTGGCTAGTTTCCAGTGCTGGCCAGAGGCAGACACGAGTTCCGGTTTGTAATGGACAAATCTTTTCAATGCATTTCATGATTTAAGACAACTTCTGAACTTTGTAGTAATGCTTTCCCTTGTTCTCAGATTTTGGTGATGAGGAGATTAACAAGCTGATTAGTCACTTCCGACCTCTTCTGCTGTCTGCTGGTGTGGATGTGGACTTGATCCCTGATCAGTGGACTATTCTCAAGGCTGAACTGTACACAGCAGGATTTAGCCAAGGTACTTGAAAAATCACACAGATATACCTGATATATAAGTGCTTAAAAAGCTAAATGTTTAATAGTGTAAGACAGTTTTATTTTGTTTATCAGGAATCGGAGCAAATTTAATTTGTTAAAAGTGCAACTTCAGAAAGTCACCAGCCACTTTGGCTGGTGATCAAAAAAGTTAATTTCGAACCCTGGTAGAGTAGAGTAGAGTAGAGTAGAGTAGAGTAGTGTAGAGTAGAGTAGAGTAGAGTAGTGTAGAGTAGAGCAGTGGAGCAGTGTAGAGTAGAGTAGAGTAGAGTAGAGTAGAGTAGAGTAGTGTAGAGTAGAGTAGAGTAGAGTAGAGTAGAGTAGAGTAGAGTAGAGTAGAGTAGAGTAGTGTAGAGTAGAGCAGTGTAGAGTAGAGTAGAGTAGAGTAGAGTAGTGTAGAGTAGAGTAGAGTAGAGTAGAGTAGAGCAGAGTAGAGTAGTGTAGTGTAGTGTAGTGTAGAGTAGAGTAGAGTAGAGTAGAGTAGAGTAGTGTAGAGTAGAGTAGAGTAGAGTAGTGTAGAGTAGTGTAGAGTAGAGCAGTGTAGAGTAGAGTAGAGTAGAGTAGAGTAGTGTAGAGTAGAGTAGAGTAGAGTAGAGTAGTGTAGAGAAGAGTAGAGTAGAGTAGAGTAGTGTAGTGTAGAGTAGAGTAATGTAAGAGTCTGTTTTAAAAAGACAGAATCTCTCATTGTTATGTTTTCTTCAAGTTCCAAAGAGTTGAATAAAGTTTGATGTTTCCACGGCGACGCCTCTGACTCCTCAGTCCTGGAGCCAAACGCCGGCTCTGGGTTTCGTCAGCCGCAATCTTCTCTTCACGTTTGGAAATGGGTTAAAGATTGTAGAGCGTCACCGGGAATATACCAAAGGATTAGTTCGATAAAAAACCGAGAATGTATCGACACGTTTGACATTACCCAAGAATAAAAAATAAGTTTTGGATTGTGGGATATTATGAAGTTTTAATGGTAGTGTTTGGAATACTCTCTGGGAATCGGCTCGAAGACCTGTTTCCCAAGAGCTGCACAGAAGAAAGGAACAAATTAAGAACAAGAAAGATAAAAAATAAATAAATAAATAAATAACATAATAGTAATAAAATATAATTAAAATAATTAAAGAAAAATTCAAAACCATCCATCCGTTTTCTTACCCTTAATCCATTTCTGGGTTGGGGGGTTGGCCGTCAGAGCTGTACCACTGATCCTCCTGCAGGTGCTGAGTCCACAGGAGCCTTGATTATTCAGTGGGGGCTTCAGGAAAAGTGGGGTAAAGTGTCTTGCCCAAGGACACAACAACAGCAGTCATCAGTGGGAGTCGTGAAGTAGGTCTTGTGTTGGGCTCGAACCCTCAACCTTCAGGCTCTATAAGGCCAATGCTCTACCAACTGAGCCACTGTCGCCCCCTGAAGTTAAAAACCATGAGAATAAAATAAAAATAAAAATAAAAATAAATCAAATTAAATCAATACATAAATTTATTAAAAAATATATTAAAATAAAAAACGTACAATAAAAAACAATTAAAATGAAACAATTAATATATAAAAAAAAAGACGAGACTTAACACATTTTTACTTTTAATGTTTATCCTTTTATTTTTACTTTTTTCACCTCAATTGAACTGCGTTTAGTCGAGGGTGTCCAAACATATGAGTAAGAGCCGAGAGGGCCACTTTAAAACTAGTATTATTTTATTATTTGCGGAAATCGCTCGGACAAGACCTGCTTTAGACCTACTTTAGACCTACTTTAGTCCTGCTTTAGACCTGCTTTAGACCTGCTTTAGTCCTGCTTTAGTCCTGCTTTAGACCTGCTTTAGTCCTGCTTTAGACCTGCTTTAGACCTGCTTTAGTCCTGCTTTAGTCCTGCTTTAGACCTGCTTTAGTCCTGCTTTAGACCTGCTTTAGTCCTGCTTTAGACCTGCTTTAGACCTGCTGTAGTCCTGCTTTAGTCCTGCTTTAGACCTGCTTTAGACCTGCTTTAGACCTGCTTTAGTCCTGCTTTAGACCTGCTTTAGTCCTGCTTTAGACCTGCTTTAGTCCTACTTTAGTCCTGCTTTAGTCCTGCTTTAGTCCTGCTTTAGACCTGCTTTAGACCTGCTTTAGACCTGCTTTAGTCCTGCTTTAGACCTGCTTTAGACCTGCTTTAGTCCTGCTTTAGTCCTGCTTTAGTCCTGCTTTAGTCCTGCTTTAGACCTGCTTTAGACCTGCTTTAGTCCTGCTTTAGTCCTGCTTTAGTCCTGCTTTAGTCCTGCTTTAGACCTGCTTTAGACCTGCTTTAGTCCTGCTTTAGACCTGCTTTAGTCCTGCTTTAGTCCTGCTTTAGTCCTGCTTTAGACCGGCTTTAGACCTGCTTTAGACCTGCTTTAGTCCTGCTTTAGTCCTGCTTTAGTCCTGCTTTAGTCCTGCTTTAGTCCTGCTCTAGACCTGCTTTAGACCTGCTTTAGTCCTGCTTTAGTCCTGCTTTAGTCCTGCTTTAGACCTGCTTTAGACCTGCTTTAGCCCTGCTTTAGTCCTGCTTTAGTCCTGCTTTAGTCCTGCTTTAGACCTGCTTTAGTCCTGCTTTAGTCCTGCTTTAGACCTGCTTTAGACCTGCTTTAGTCCTGCTTTAGTCCTGCTTTAGTCCTGCTTTAGTCCTGCTTTAGTCCTGCTCTAGACCTGCTTTAGACCTGCTTTAGTCCTGCTTTAGTCCTGCTTTAGTCCTGCTTTAGTCCTGCTTTAGACCTGCTTTAGACCTGCTTTAGACCTGCTTTAGTCCTGCTTTAGTCCTACTTTAGTCCTGCTTTAGTCCTGCTTTAGTCCTGCTTTAGACCTGCTTTAGACCTGCTTTAGTCCTGCTTTAGTCCTGCTTTAGACCTGCTTTAGACCTGCTTTAGTCCTGCTTTAGTCCTGCTTTAGTCCTGCTTTAGTCCTGCTCTAGACCTGCTTTAGACCTGCTTTAGTCCTGCTTTAGTCCTGCTTTAGTCCTGCTTTAGTCCTGCTTTAGACCTGCTTTAGACCTGCTTTAGTCCTACTTTAGTCCTACTTAAGTCCCTGTTCTTTACCCCCGCGCTGGATAAAAAACCGGGCCTTTCGTCGCGGCAAGACCTCCCCTCGCGGCGCGGCGCACACATTAAAAACCATCTTCATAAACGTATGAAGTCGAAAACGCGGCGAATTAATTGCGAGTATTTTTCTGCATTATGAGCTATTACTGAGCGCAATATAGTTTCATTAGTGCGGAATAAATGAGTTTTTACGGGATGTCTCCGGTCCCAGGTACACACCATGCATTCCAATTAGAGACCAATAAGACGAAATGAACCCTCTCTCTCCGTTCCGGGACGAGAATATGGGATTTGATCTGGATGGAGGTGCCACGGAGGTAAGTACCTTGGCAGCACCCAGACAAATGGCACCAATTAGATCCTGGGTCGCTTGTTTCCTCATAGCATTCGTGTTTTCATAACCGCAGAATCAAATAATTGCATCTGTTTACATTCGGCACAATAAAAGTCAATGTGTGGCTCCTGAATATTTTAGTGACTTTTATTTTTTTTTTTTTTTTTTGCGGGGGGATATAAAGCAGGGAAATGGGTAGAAAAGCATGAATATTTTGCGAAGATAAAACGTGAAGTGTCGTGATGAGTTGCCGGAGTTTCTTCAGCCTGGAGCTCTCACACGACCGCGGGAGGCCATCTTTGTGATTGTGAAAAAGAAATCTACAAAGTATCTGTCATAAGTATCTGTTAACTTTAGACTTATTATAAAGTGTTGTTATCGATCCCTGGGCTCTTTCTCTGGTTTCTCTCTTTGATGTCTCTTTCTGGTTTCTCTCTCCAGGCTCTCTCTCTGGTCTCTCTCTCCGGGTTCAGTGATCTACGTCTCACTGACTGCAGGAGAACATGGACCAGTGGACTCACTCCTTCACTGTATCCAACAGATCAGTGGGTGGATGCAAAACAACTTCCTTCAGCTAAACACAGACAAAACTGAAATGATTGTCTTTGGTCCCCAGAAACAAAGAGAGAGCGTCATCTGTCACCTACAGTCTCTCTCCCTAAAACCTTCAAACAAGGTCAGAAATCTAGGGGTAATACTGGACTCAGACTTACATTTTAATAGCCACATCAAATCAGTAACATCAGCAGCTTTTTACCATCTAAAAAACATTGCCAGGATCAAAAACATAGTGTCTAAAGCAGACTTGGAGATTCTTATCCATGCATTTGTCTCCAGTAGGTTAGACTACTGCAATGGCCTGCTCACAGGTCTGTCCAAACAGGCTGTAAAACAGCTGCAGTACATTCAAAATGCAGCAGCTCGAGTCCTGACTAGAACCAGGAAGTACGACCACATTAGTCCGGTCCTCAGGTCTCTGCACTGGCTTCCTGTGGCTCAGAGAATAGACTTTAAAACAGCTCTGCTTGTGTACAAGTCTCTCCATGGCCTCGCACCAAAATATATTACTGACATGTTAGTCCCATATGAACCAGCCCGGACTCTGAGGAGCACAGGGACTGGACTCCTGTTAGTGCCCAGAGTCAGAACTAAACATGGGGAGGCTGCTTTTCAGATTCATGCTGCTAAAATCTGGAACAGTCTTCCTGAAGATGTGAGACAGGCCTCCTCTCTGACAATGTTTAAAACCAGGTTAAAGACAGTTCTGTTTAGCTGTGCATACAACTGAGGGATTTTATATTTTTATCTTTCTTTTTAATGTTCTGTGATTATTTATGATTTTAATGCTTTCTTATTTTTTTCAGCACTTTGAGTTGCCTTGTGTATGAATTGTGCTATATAAATAAACTTGCCTTGCCTTGCCTTCTCTCTCTGGGCTCTCTTTACATTGGTCTCTCTCTCTGGGCTCTCTCTCTGGTCTCTCTCTTTGGTGTCTCTGGTCTCTCTCTCTGGTGTATCTCTCTGGTTTCTTTCTCTGGTTTCTCGCTCTGGTCTCTCTCACGTATGTCTTTCTGGTCTCTCTCTCTGTCTAGGCTCTCTTTCAAGTCTCTCTCTCT